TTTTGTTTTGTGCAGACCCTTTTCCTATTTTTAGAAATCCCGGTGCTAATGTCATTTTACGAGACTAGCTCTTCGACTTCTCAGCAGTAAAGAAAATAAGAATATTTTTCTCTGACTGACTTTCTCTTTGAAAAGCCATGTTATTTATAATAATGGGCGCACCGAGCTGTCTGGTACTATTATAGGAAATGCCACATTTCCCAGTTTGAATGACAAATCTGGTCTGTATGAGCTGGATTGTCCCATCGCCCACAAATGACAAGTCTGCTAATTCTCCGAGACAGGTTTCCATGTGAAAGCAAAACAAAACTTTTTTTTCCTCCTCTCTTCGGAGATAGAAAAATGCCAAAGTGGATTTTTATGATGTTTACCTAAACCGGCATTCTTAATTAAATAATTGCTGGTTCAGGATACATACTGTATATTCGATATATTATATTACTGTCAGCATTTATATTTTAACGTCTGTGTTACCATGGGGCTTGTAACGAAAGTGTCAATTAGCCCTAGCATGCGACTACGTGAGCATTTTTTTCTCTGTAAAATATTGTATTTTGTATTTATGTTAGCTATTAAACCTTGAATGGCAGTGATGTAAGGATTGTCTTACCATGCCCGTGTACATTGTAATAAAAAGCAAAATAAATTTTGCTGATGGTTAAAGGTTAAGCTTATTGTGTATCACATAATTCAATATTTCTGGTGCCCTGTGGTCGTGTCTGGGAACATCAGTAGAACGGTGCTCCTGATCATTATATAATGTCATGCTGGTAGAAGAAGTTAGGGATCTAGGCACAATGGGGTTCAGAGTGCCATGAGGACTGTGTGGAAAGACGTTCAGAGAAAGGTCCCTCCTAAGGTTTAAGAAGTGCCTCAAAGTGGCATGAGGTGTCAGAAAGAGAAATTGTGAGTATAATCATGAATCTTAACACCATAACCTAATGTATGCACAACCTGGTATGCACAATAAAGATTGACCAACCTCAGTTCTCAAGATTACATTCACTTTGCTACATCCAAGGTCATAGTAACGGGTAATATTCTACATTTCTTATATCAATATACAGCAAAAGATAGAGAATGCAAGTCACAACATTGCTTAAAACTGAGAGAGTGTCATCTGCGGGATGATAAACTTCTATTGCAATTAATTATATATATAGTGACCTGGCTTTAAAACTGCAGAGGAATGA